TTCAGGTGTTGAAAATTTTCAAAGATGGAGGTTCTTCTATTTTCTGGGCAACCTGTTAGAGCTTAACCACTCACAGAACTGATACATAACGTGAGCAGGCAAAAGGGTTAGGCTTTTCATTTGTTTAGTTTTTATGGGTTTTGTTTGTTCATTTCTTAGAGCTGACGGTCTGCTTCTTAAATGGAAGTTACTCCTTGCTACAGGGAATATATTGGGAAGGTGAGCTTAGCAATATACCAGTTCTTTGCTATTTATTCAGAAGAAAACGTGGCAGAAGAAAATTGTGTAATCGCTTCCACCTTACTCTGAAGATTTCTGGTATGTGGGAAATACTCAGGTTGCTCTAGCAGCTAAGAACAAGGAAACTTCAGTAAGCCCTAGAACTAAGATGATAAAACCAAAAATTTATTACAAATAGTTATATATCCTTGCTGAAAATTAATTCAGAAAAGCATGTTGAATACAGTTTGTAACCTACGTAGCTGAAGTATTCCTTTTTGTTACCTTTGAAGTTCAACTGTTGGATTCTCTGTGATTTAACATCTTTTTACCAATAGCTAGTCAAGCAACTTTCACAGAATACAGGCAATTAAATTTATCTTTTACTATGCAATTTCAATATTTGTAGAAATTATGCTCCTTGAGAAATAATAAAATTTACATTCTTTGTGCTGTTATTCAAAGTAAGCTAACATTTTGTACAGCTTTATAAATTACAATCCAGAACTAATGCCTTCCCATTAGGTTTTAAAATCTCTGAGTGCCCCATACACTTGGTCTTCTTGCCCTGTAATCACTGCTTCACTTCAGCAATCAAATAAGAATGACCCACTTTCTTGCCTAATAGATTCTTTGTGGACTGTAAGTGTACTTAGAAGTTAATGCCTAAATAGTTTGAAGACTAAATAAATCCGCATAACTGGCTCCTGTCATATTAAGAAAACCTTATGAATAAAAGCACAGCTAAATGAAATCTTTTAAATTTAGGCAGACTTTTATATATTTGTGCTCATATATATACTGCTTTATGTATGAAAAGTAGGATAAGCTTGAGTATGATTTTGCATTGGGTCTCAAGGGCTGACTGGAGTACCTTTTCATAGCTTTTTAGTTGCTTTTCTTTGCTTCTGAAAAGCCATGCCAGTTTGCACACCTGAGATGTTGTCTGCAGTGCTACAGAAAATTTTCCCACACTCACAAATGCCCAAGGCTGTCTTGGAACAATTGCAGAAAAGAAGAAGAGCTAGCAAAACCTTGAGAGAACTATCTCACCTCAGAATTTCTAGCTCTGCACAACACTTCCTGAAATCAGGTCTATAACTAAATGCTCAGCCAACATACTTAACAAAGATTAACAGAACCCAGGTTACTGGAAAAAAATCTCCTAATAAATGTCTAATACATAGCAGCTCAGCAATACTGACAACAATTGCTGCACCACCCTGCTCTCCATAAGCCTGTTAAAAAGAGCAGCTGGTCATTAATACCTGGCAGTCCTTGGCGGCTTCCTTGTAGGCCCGTTCAAGTGTCCAGCCCTCTCTTCTTGTGGCATGACCACCGGGGCCACCACCGGATAGGTAAGAGGGCTGACGTGCTGGTCTACATCTGCTCACCTTTGCCAGTGTAATGGCTGTCCGCTTATGTCATCCCTGCAGGGTTTCTTTCATCGAAGGAACATGCTGCTGATTTCACCAGGCTTTACACACAACCTTTTTCATCTTGGGGATTAGAAAATCTCTAGGTGGGAGACATCTACAAGAGATTTGACTCTTCAGTAGGATTAAATTCCCAAAACAATTTTTACTCCCTGCTACACATGCACACACACATATACACATACATAATGTTATTACTCAGGCCGAATTCACATCTTGTCACCTCATGGTGACCTCTTACCAAGAAATGTTTATCATAATTCCTGTTCTTTTTCTATATACAATAATTAATTACTCTTCATTACATACATACTTGAACAAATTTTAACTGAGGTAATAAAATTCATGAAATTAATTTTGGACTATTAGTATCCTTCATATTCTACAAAGTCCCTATTTTCCCTTTTCAACGGAGTTCCACATCATAAAAGTTAAATCTTCTGGGTTTACATTTACTTTCAATTCACTTAGATTTTAAATCTACAAGTCAAACATGAGCTGCAGATCTTGTTACATCACACTCCTACATTGCACATAGTGTATGTACTTAAGTTTAAATTTACAGCATAATTAATTCTTAAAGTGAATGCAGTGTGTGCAAATTAGTTGTTGGTAGTTAGTGGTGTAACTTTTCTTTTGTCAAGCTTCCTGCCCTTTTTGAGTATTAACTAATAATTACAGTGCATTACTTGAAGCTTTTTAACTTTCATTTATATCCATTTACAGTCATAGCATTTTTAGTGATAAGGTTGGATTAAGTCACTTACGCGAATGCATTAACTTTTTGTTCAGGAAGAGCTGAGACATTGTTTGCACCTGCTGTACAAATATGCACTGGGTTTTCTTATGTTAATCATGCACACTTCAATCTTATATAAAAACTTCAGTGTGGGTGTTCAGATACAGCTAAGACACATTTAATACTGCTCAAACAAGTAGTGGCAATGACTCACAAGTTCTATATATCAAGGAAATGGGATTAATCCTCTCAAACCTTGTGTCCCTGGTGGACTTCCATGAGAGAGAATTGTGTTTGCATGAATGCAAAGATCAGAGAGAGGCACTGCACTGAGATGTATGGGGACTGAAGTCTCAAGATAGGGGCATTATATGCAGCCAGTTTTAGAGAAAGTTCCCCAGGAAATACAGCACTCTGGTTCTGACTGAACTCTGCTACTCTCAAAAAGAGTGCCTTTGAACCTTTTCTCCTCTCATGCCCTTAAATCTGCTTTAGCTGGTAACTGTTCCTCTCCTGAGCCTACGCATCTCATTCTGGTCACTAAAATATCAGTAAAACATTTACTAGTAGTTTTCCAGACCATGCTGAAAATACTGCATCCAGTTTTGGGCCCATCCATACAAGACAGACACCAATGGTGAAGTTGGTCAGGCCTGGAGCCCTGTGAGGAGAGGGGGCTTGCTCAGTCTGGGAGGGGATGGCTTCAGGGGCACCTACCAGCAACCTGCCAGTGCCTGTGAGGTTACAGAGGAGATGGAGCCAGGCCCTTCATGCTGGTGTGTGGCAGGAGAGCAAGAGGCAGTGGGGTAAACAGAGATGCTTAGCGTGGACAAAGCCCTGACCA